GTTGGACAGGTGTACCTAATAAAGTGGCCGGTGAGTGTATAACTTAACATCCAACAATTATTGAACCCCTTCTAATCATCACCAAATTAAATCATAAATCCTGAAAAGGGAAATGGTTACGCATGCGCAGACAGTAATTCACATTTTAGTTATTCACATCAGATTGACAACATCATCTGCTGTATTGACCTGAAAATTAAATATTAGTTTTCACCACATCAGTGAAACCTTGTAAATTTCCACCTGTAAGTCAAAATTTTATTACTCCAAGGTTGAGACCTGTGGGATTTTTTTTGTTTTGATACAATCAAAATGATACAGTTAAAAATTATCATACAAACTGGAAGCAGTTATTTTCTTTCATGCAAAGTCTTTGTCCCATCAGTTTCACACAAACAAGGCTTGTCATGACCTGTAAAAACCTTTCTCTCAATGATATATTCACAGAGCAACGATGGCACAGAATCACCACCTCTTTTACTGGCATTTAAATGATATCTCTACCTGCTGTATGACATTTTAATTTATCTTTTAAGCCTTTAAAAAATTTGTTATGTTTCTTCAACACATCTTAAAAACCTTCAAATTTCCAGATGTATTCTGGTAGATGTGACGTCTCCATTTCCCCCTCATTTCAGTTACACATTCTCCTCCCCCTTATTTGTAAAGGCGAGTTTCACCGCTTGGTCCACATCACACTTATTTCCTGTAAAACAAGAAGTTATCATTTATTATGAAGACATTTAAAACAACAATACCACTTTTAATCCCATCAATTATTCCCCCTGTACACCTTGATAAAATGTTTATTAAACTTTTTCTGTCGTTTCGGTTTTATGAATTTGTGCTGAAGCAAATCCAATTACTCGCCATCAAATTTATTTTGAAATATTAATGTCATTATCTGGGTATTAGTGTTCATTCGTCCATTCAACCATTATGGGTTCCATACACTAATAACGAAAACATCCACATATACAGATAACATATTCACACACAAATATGAATTACACCCCATCCTGTTAAGGCCCTGTTTTCACTGTACAAACTACCCAAACAAATCCAAATCAAAATGTTTATAAACATAGAAATACACACGATTCAACTAAAGTTCTTCTTCAAAACTTCATTTTCAAACCTCTGACTCCAAATTTTACGAAAAACAAACATAATTCAGCTAATTTTCTTCTTTTAAGCTCTATTTTCTGACCTCTGACTCCAATCAGGTTCAAATGTACATCCCTTCATGATTACACCCTTGGATGTCACCTTGTACTTCATACTTCAGCACTTCACTCTGTTTTGTTTAGGCTAAGAGAAAGAACACATGATAAAAATCAACTATTCAGTTACAACAATTCATCAGCAGACTTAATAGACATCCAGGCATCAGTTCACAACCTTGGTCCAAATCACAATAACCAGGGGAGTTCTGCTCCGAGCAGACACTCTGCAAAATCCTGACAACTTCTTCACCAAACTTAACCAATATTGACCATCCAGCACACTGACTCGGTCCAAATCTAAATAAACAATATTCATACACTTACTCCTCAGAATAACCTTTCTAAAAGAAACCCTTATCTTGTATGATAATTTGCAAGAAATTGTTCTATCAATATGTTTCATTTTATTTGTTTCCCTACGTCACCCCCTTCATCTCAAATAGTCTCATAGAATTTATTTTCTCATATCCAGCCATTTCAAATTTAATCTAATTACCCAGAACTTTTCTAACGTTGCTATTACACTATATTCAACCATATCTCTCAACTGGTACTTCTAATCAGAGTCCACAATTTCCTCATTCTGGTAGTTCTTAAATTAATATTTTCCTGTGTACTATCCATGTTTAACTCCTTCATTGTTGAGAAGAACCTGTCGTCCTCAAAACATATTTAATGTGAACATCATTACCTCATCAAATCAACTTAACTCAGGTAAAATTTTAATTGCTTTATTTAATTTAATTTTAATTACTCTCTGGCTGTTTACTCCAAGGTTCACTCACTAACTATTCTGTTGCTGTAAAATCATATTTAAAACGCATGTATATTTAAAACCTTAAGAGAGTTTTGCAGTTAGAGTTTTGTAATCCAATTTCATCCCACAAATTAAGTCCTTCATTAACCATGTACTGCCACTAGAAAATATTTCCTCAAAGAAACTATGTCATGCTTAACATAGATTACTTCGATCAGCAAAAGTCCACCATGGAGAAAGTAAGATTTATTTACATAATATACCTGTTTTAATTCTATACTAATTGATGAAGCTAATTTGCGATCCTCTGTTTGACAAACTACAATTTATAAAATTCAAATAGTTTTTAACACCTCAAACTTTTTACCTCTCATGATTCTATACTGACACTTCAAGGCCTCCCTTTAAAAAACAAGTTTACTTTTAGAAATATTAGTGAGATGTTGACATAACAGAAAGCTCATACATTTGTTTCTTTTTTTTCCCTCAAAATAATCGTATGTGAAATACAGTAGTTCCCAGATACACTAGCTTAATAGATTAATTGTCTTTTTATGTTAACCTCCAACCCATTATAAAGTTAACTAATCCCTTTTAAAATGTATCAACAATACTAACATAGTTCTACACAAAATTACTGGTGCAGGAGTGTTTTCTGCTCCAACTGTCCAAGAATCAGCTGGTTATCTAACCGCAGCTATTTGTTTAAGTCCGACTCTATTTCATATTGATTTTAGAAGTATTAAATCCCCACCAAATTATAATCCTTTAAACAGACCAGTCCCTCACAACACCTGGTCAAACCTGCTTAAGATGCTGGCACCTTAAGAGAACTTGCTGCTAAACCTGTCATACCAGTAACAACCAGTGGTGTAGAAACATTTTAGCTGCACCCTGCAGACCCACCATGCCTAATAACAATTCTAAGGGCTTAATTTTATTTTGTGTCTGAGTTGACGTTTTAAATATTAACTCTCTAATTGGTAAACTCTTCATATGTTTATTTAAACAATATGTCATACTTTTTTCAATATGCTACAAAAACTAATCTACTATTACTAATAAATTTTGCTCTGTACCTCNCATGTATGTGTTCCGATCACTCTATCACAGAAAAATAAGAGTTGTAGAACTTATTGAAAACTCAAGACAGCCATAACATTATGTTTTTTTACAAGTGTATGTAAGCTTTTGACCACAACTGTAAGTACAAAGATATCAGAGACTTTAAGACTTTTACTCAAGTAATATTTTTAGAGAAGACTTTAACTTTTACCAAAGTATTCTTATTATACGATACTTGTACTTTTACTCAAGTATCGCTTTCAGGTACTTTATACAACACTGATTATAATTAAAACTTATGTGCAAAAATGTGATGTTTAGTCAAAACACAAAGAAAATGGCGCTTCATGTACGTGTGACGTGATCACGCAAAGATCTGTGCGACATCCGCTGACGGCATGAGGCTCCTCCTGGAAAATCTTGTGGAATAGTGGTATTTTCGTGCGCTCGGCAAAAATACTCATCTATTCATAGCCAACAGCTAGCTTTTTCTCCGTTTATAATTCTCTTTTTAACCCGTTCTTTCACTGGAGGTAGGCAGTTTTATCTCGGCAGTGTATATAAAAATTAATACCACATTATCATGGAGCTCTGGATGTTAAAGAACATCTCCGAATGAGAAGCCGAACAGCCCCCGACTTATTTATCATTTTGATATCTTCGACAACATGTCTGGGATCTAAGTTTCCCTGTGAAGTTTTTAATCCAGGTGTTTTTGTTTTAATCGAAAATGAAGTCCCCACAGGCTCCCGGTATTCGACTAATAACGCGTTTTTCTCGGGATAGCTGGTTTGTTGTACTCTATATTGTTCAGAATGTAAATCGAGCTGTTGTAAGCCCGTGTACAGCTCTGGTATCCAACATCCCACTGTTCTTAACCAGGCTTCTGTTCTCACGAATGTACTCCCTCAGGATTTGTCTGATACCCAACAAGGCAACACATCTCCTTTCCACCAGTCATCACCTGTTTTGGTTTCTCTGGATCAAAGTTGGAATCAAGAGACTCCTGTTGGCCAGACAGCCAAGGAAAGTTTCCTCTGTAAGCAGTATACTCAGTTTGTGTCTACCTCATGCTCAACTGGAGGCACTTTCATTTTAGATCGTAAGTCAGCCCCAGATTATGATGATGAACCATCTGAGAGTTCAGAATCCTGTGAAGACCGGGGTTTGGAGACCATGCAGAAAATGTATAAAGGAGGTGACAAAATTGAGAGAGAAGAATGAGAAACTTGAGCAACTCCAGGAAACCATAAGTGAGTAAAGTATGATTTACAGCTTTGTGTATTACACGTTTTTCAATTTATGAAAAATAGTAGCAAAACTTACTAAACACTGCCACAAAAACAACAAAAACCCAGTTTTACCACCACCATGACTAATTGCATTACCACAGTTGACATCACCTTATTCCAACCTCCGAAAACATTAATAAACCATCTTCACAGACAATTTCCTAAGGCTTTTAACAGCCTCTGTTACTGACCCAGCAGTGTCAGTATTTCCAGGAATAAATAAATACACCAAGATGAACCAAAAAATGAACAAACTCCCCCTTGTTCAACCACCATAATTGTAAATCGACTACTACCGAGCCAACAGCATAGACTTAAGCTATTTTATAATTCCATACTCACCATATTTACCAGCCATTTAGAAAAAACTGCTAGACCATCTCCACATACCCCTTTAGTGGTATAAATTAGCCAAAG